TTTTTTGTTTTTCTTTTAGTGGTTGCTCTAGAGATTGCAATATAGATTTACCACTATCCCAGTCCACTTTCAGGGAACACTATGTGACTTCATGGGTAGTACAAGTACCTTATAACTGTATTCTCAATTCCTTCCTCCTGTCTCTGTAACATTGTTGTTGTTCATTTTACTTATCCATAAACTGTAATTATGTAATATATTTTTGCTATTATTATTTTCAACAAACTAAATTTTTAGACCAATTAGAAATAAGAAAAAAGATTTTAAGTTACCTTTATTTAATTCATTGTCTAATGCTCTCCCTTTTCTTAAGCATAGATCCAAGTTACTGAACCATATCATTTTCCTTCTCTCGGAAGAACTACTTTTACCATTTGCAAGGAAGTTCTACCGGTGACCAATTTCGTCCATATTTATCTGGAAATGTCCTTATTTCTCCTTCATTCTTTTTTTAAAAAATTTTAATTATAATAAAAATATATATAACAAAACATTTGCCAATTCAACGATTTTTTCATGAATAATTTAATGGGGTGGTGAAAATGGTTAAGCGCTCGACTGCTACTTGAAAGGTTGGAAGTTCGAACCCTCTACAGGTTCCTCGGAGGATAGGCCTGGTGATTTGTTTCCACAGAGTCACAGCTTTGAAAACTATGGAGCAGTTCTCCTGTGCACACACAGGGTCACCATGAATCGTAACTGACTTGATGACAACTGAAGAACAACAGTAATATAGTGACATTATGTTCATCTGCTGTGCAACTGTTATCACTATCTTCCCAGTTTATTCCACCACCAGTAACAAACTTAGTACCCCCTATGCAATGAACCCCCTTTTCTCCCTCTTCCCTATCACTGGTAAACACTAATAAGTTTGGTCACTATACATTTGCCTATTTCATATAAGTAGGATTGTACAGTATTTGTCCTTATGTGACTGAATTATTTCACTTAGCATAATGTTTTCAGAGTTCATTTATGTTCTGGCATCTATCAGGACTTCATTTCCCTTCATAGCTAAGACATATTCCATTGTATGAATATACTGTATTTTGTTCACCCATTCATCTGTTGATGGGTATTCAGGTTGTTCACATATTTTGCCTATTGTGAATAGTGCTGCAGTGAATATTGGTGTACTGATTCCTGTTTGATTTTCTGCTTTTCTTTTGGGATTTGCCTAGGAATGTGATTGCTGGGTCATATCATAGTTCTGTAATCAACTTTTTGAGGAACTGCCCAAGTTATCCACTGTGGCTGTACCATTTTGCATTCCCATGAGCCGTTGATGATGGTTCCAGTTTCTCCACATTCCTCTCCTTCCTTTTTGAAGGATAATTTTGCTTGATACAGAATTCTGGTTTAGTCATTTCCCCCCACCCCAACACTAAATATTTCATACCACTCTCTCCTTGCTTGATTTTTTTCTTAATACAAGTCTAATACAATTCTTAACCATGCTGTTCAGTAGGAAGGTGATTTTTCCCTCTTCTGGCTTCTTTCAATATTTTCTCTTTGATGTACAATTTGAATATGATAGCACTACATCTAAGTGTTTTGGTATTTATCCTGCTTGGTGTTCCCTGAAGTTCCTAAATCTTTGGTTTGTTGTGCATCATTCATTTTCTAAATTTCTCAGCCATTATTAACTCAAATATTCTGTTCGTTTCTACTGTCTTTCCTTTCTGGTGTTCTCAATACATAGATGGCCCATCTTTAGTAATTGTCCCACACTTCTTGGATATTCTTTTCCATTTTTTTTCATTCTTTTTTCTCTTTGCATTTCAGCTTTGAGAGTTTCTGTTAACATATTTTCAAGCTCACAGATTCTTTCCTTGGCCTTGTCCTGTCATTTGATGAGCTTGTTAAAGGCATTCTTCATTTTTGTTACAGTGTTTTTTGATTTCTAGAATTTCCTTTGGTTCCTTTGTTACAGTTTCCGTCTCTCTGCTTACATTACCCTGGCATGTTAATTATAGTTATTTGGAATTTTTGGTCTGATAATTCCAAAATTGGTGCTGTATCTTAGAAAGATTTTGATGCTTGCTCTGTCTCTTCAAGTTGTATTTTTATCTTTAGTGTTCCTAGTAGTATTATGTTGAAAGTTGGGAGATTATGTACTAAGTAAAAGGAAACGAGATAAATAGGTTTTAGTGTGAGGTTTCATGTTTATCTGGCTAGAAGTTAGGTTGTGTTTGCTGTAGGTGTCATTTGCTCTGATGTTCTTGCTTTCTTCATCCCTATTGTGTTTGGGTTTCATAGTAACTTCTTAAATCAGGTCTGAGACTTGGAGTTCTTTCTGTTGTAATCTTGTTATTATATGAGAGCCCTATTGATGCAGCGGTAAGGTGTGGACAAATGGGAAGCCTGGTATAACCCAGTGATTAAATCTCAGTCTTTTAGTGAGCTCGTGCCCCTGGCGTGACAGGACAAGTGCTTTTCTGCTTCTCCCCTACCCACTTTGTTGAGACCGGAAGCCTAGATGGGGCTAGAGTTGGGTATTTCATTACTGTAGATAAGTTAGACTCTGGTTAAATAAGTTCCCTTGAGGGCAGGCCTTATCAGAGAGAACAGAATCCTCTGGGAAATTTTAGAAATGGCTGCTTTTCCTCTTCCCCCTACTGAAAGGAAACACAATGAGTTTTTTCTCTGATGGTGACACTGAGGAACTGATAGGGTTCCTGCAGGTAGAACTCATAAAACTATGTGGGTCCCCCTAATATTGGGCCTCCCTGGCATTTTTTGACCCTGAAGTTTGTCCACATTGAGTCTCCAGCAGTTTGTCAATTGCATTTTAAGTTTTCCTACGCTGATACTGATCCTAGAGGTGGTTTCTGCTCCTAGGTGCTCTGGTATGATTCTCTGTAACTGCTTATGTGTCCCTCCAGTTTTGGGGCAGCAATTTACCCTGCGACCTCAATTTTCTTGAGTTCAGTATGTTCAGATATTTTATTTTGAGGGCAGGAGCAATGACTTCCAAGCTCCTCATATATCAGACCAGAAACTGAAAGTCTTCATTTGTGTTTTGTGTCATTAGTATGGTCTTTATTTTCATGTTACTTTCTTCATACTGTTCATTTATGCTGCTTTTGTTTTTCCAGTTTCCCAAATTTATATGTTTAGCCTACTGCTAGTGACTTTTTCTTTTCAATTTATAAGCAATGTGTCTTTTCCTGGGCATGAAGGTCTGTAGAGCCATTTGATTCCTGTGTCTCTATGTTGGGACTTGTTGAAGTCAATGAGCATGTGAAATATATATGAGTGTTTGCAAAACATCATGGTCTGTTTCTAAGTTTTTAGAATTGAAAATGTGGTATCTTTTACTCTTACCAAGCCGGGTTTCACTAGGTAATGTTTTCTAAAATGATGATTTTGTCCCCTGCGCTAACTTACTAAAGATAAATATGCTTGTGTTACTTGCTGCTTATCTCTTTACTGTGCTGCGTTTTCCATAGAATGTATTCCCACTTGATACCATATATATATTTAAATTTATTGTCCACACTGAAAGAACTTACAATCCATGCTCATCCAGATATTTGTTTTGTTCATTGCATATCTGCTTTGTGAACATGAAGTAGGCGCTGTGTCAATATTACCTAAATTAATTTTAGTAAATGAAGGTAGCACAGTTAAGAGTCTGAAGAGAAGAAATCTTGTTTGAGACAGGGATTTTGCCAGGAGAAGTAGCTCTGAGTTGTGTGACTGAATAGGATGTTTCCTTTGTCTCCACTTGTCCAGCAGGGCTCTAGATCATCCATGGTGTTATTGGAGAATAATAGAATAACAAGGCTGTATACATACATATGAACAGAAATGTGTTTGTCAGGAATTTAGATTTCAAAGACAAATTGACCTGCATTCTGACCCTGGCTCTGCAACGTTCCATGTGGGCAACATGGAGCATGTGATTGATTGATTGTCTCTAACTTTACTCAGCTATGAACTGTTTTAAGTAATATCTGCTTAGGATAAGACGGAGGTCTCCAGGCTGCAGAAAATTCCGCTGCCTCAAGCAGCGTGCTTAGCTCGCCCCACAGCTTTGCATTAGAATCCTGTTTCCTTTGCTTACCCTCCCACCCACAGCTTTGAATTAGAATCGTGTTTCTTTTGCCTAGCATGCTCCATAATCTTATATTAAAATCCTGGTGATGCATGAAGTTATATGTAAATCCCATTGCACCTGTGTAGTATGATTAAGAATGTTGCTGATGCAACTTGTGTGAACTTCCTACTTGTAAAACCCCTTAAAAGTAATCTTTCCCCTCACCCTCACTGAGCAGTCTTGGCGACAGCAGCTCCGACTGTCTTCCTTTCCCTTGTGCAATGAAATAAAGGCGCCTTTCTACTACTCTCCTACCTCAGTCTCTCGTTTATTGGCCAATATGAGTCACACCGAGCAGAACCTAGGACTTCCACCTGGCAACTAGGAGAGTCATGAGATATAAATGAACTAGTGTGTTGAAAACTTTTTACAAATCATAGTTGCTCAATACATGGAACATTTTATAATTACTATAGTCATGCATCACTTAACGTCCATTATACATTCTGTGAAATAGACGTTATGTGATTGGGATGTTGTGTGAAAACAATATATACAGACCGTCCCCAGGTTGCAACATCTGACTAATGTACAACCTGTAGTTACAAAGCAACCCCTGTAAAGGCTATTATATTGAAAATTAGAATTCATACAATAGTTGGTAATAAATGGGCGCTACTTTGCGATGGGAGCCCTGGTGGCGCAGTGGTTAAGAGCTTGGCTGTTAGTCAAAAGGTCAGCAGTTTGAATCCACCAGCCACTCCTTGGAAACCCTATGGGGGCATTCTACTCTGTTCTATAGGGTTGCTATGAGGCAGAATCCACTCGACGGCAACGGGTTTGGTTTTTGTTTTTGGACTTTGCAAGGTGCATCAAAACGTTATTATTACTGTATTATTATGTTAAAGATATTTTAGTGTCTCTGGAAATGTTTCTTTAATTTTTTTATGCATAGAAAGGTACATCATATATACTAATACAAACATTTGACATTAGTTACAAACTGTATATATGTTGTGTATGGAAAGCTGTTGTGTCCACTATGTCCAGTTATGTATGCTATGTCCTGTTTTCTGATCAGGATTTCTGAACTCTATTATAACTTTATGGGATCACGGGCATATATGTGGTTGGATGTTGTCTAAACGGACATTATGTGGTGCATGACTGTATGTTGTATAATGAATGTTATGGTTTTTGATGACTTTAAAATATGTATCTTGCAGTGGAGGAGGCTTTTGGATTTTGGCTCTTGCTCAAAGTTTGTTATGACACCATACTACCAGGATTGGTTAGAAATGACATAGACAACTCACTTCAGCACTTCCCTTATAAGAGGAGTCTTCTTGTACTCTAAAGTGCTCTATTTTAGCACCCAAAGTATGGTTTAGCAACTTTTTCTCTTCTCACTACATGAGGGAGCCAATGGATTGGTGCTATTACATTTGACGGAGGTCACTTACCAGAGAATTCCATTGGTCAGGGATCAAGTAGTCATGGTTGTGTACCGTCCAGGGGCTGCAAATAGAGAATTCTGGAGAGAAGCCTCCAGAGGGCTGGTGTATAAGTCTCTTGTTTCCTAGGCTTCACGGGCAATTTAACAGGTAAACTATCTGTACTTCAGCTTACTTACAAAATTAACTTTTTTTGTAAAAATTATATATTAAACATTTGCCAATTCAACAGTGTTTATGTGGATAACTTGGTCACATTGATTACATTTATCATGTGCAGTATTTACAAAATGGGAATTGTAACCTCTTCTCAGTCAGCAAACATAAGGGCATGCTGTTCCTGTTTCTGCAGAGGTAGTGTTGTTTGTCATCTTACAGCATTAGACTGTGTTTAGTGAGGGTGTATGAGTTTGTTGAGGGGAGCAGTGACTAATAATCGGTGTACTGTTGCATCAGGTCTCAAAATTTTAGAATTGTGGGGAGATCTGGATTCTTATGTTTCCTGTCTCACCTGAGCTCTTTTTAACTTTTATTCTCTTTGCCTGTCTCTATGAAAGGAACAGGAGGATAACAAATGAGTTTCTGAAAAGTAGGTGACATGTAAAAATTCATAATTCTCTAAAAGAATATTCTTTTTTCGGAGGTGGGTCTGTCAATGCCTGATCTAGAGTTCAAGAAAATATGACCAGCTCAGGGCCTTGGGTTGCCAGTTTGTGCAGGTCTTTGGTCCTCTTATGGCTGTGAGGGACAAAAGGAAAACTGCCATTCTGCAGTGTTTCCTAGTGGTGAGTACCTCATCGTGCCTACACCTTGTGCTTTATGTATTGTTGAGTGTTCTGGTGGGTCTTATGGAAGGTGTTGTAATTGTTTATTCACAAGGAAGTAATGATCTGAATTAGAGCATTTCTCTAATTTCTGCTATGTTTTCTAACTATTCTAGGCCACAGAGAGGAATGAGACTGTAATTGGTTGCAATCAAACTGTGGAGACGTAACATATTTCAGTGTGTTGTAGTCTGTGAGACAGGATGCAGTGAGAAAGTGAATGTAGTTAATGAAGGGACGACCCTAAGTAGACCTCGGTAGAACACAGAACCTTGCGTCAGATGCCTATGAATTCTCAGTTCCCCAGTACTGTCAGCCTCACTCTTTGTTCTTGTACATATTGGAGTACATGGTACCTTGCTGATCCAGAATGTGTGGGATGTTTTAGGACTCAGTGGTTGTTGAGGATGTGACCGTGATCTTTAGCCAGGAAGAGTGGGCTTTGCTGGATCTTGTTCAGAGGAAACTCTACAGAGATGTGATGATGGAAACCTTCAGAAACCTGGCCACAGTAGGTAAGAATGGCATTTTTTTTTTATTCCTTTAGTGAACAAAAATATTTTACTCATTAACTTTGCTCTAGTATTTGGGTTGAGGAATAGGAATAAATTGTTAAATAAAACAAGCATGGTCCCTTGGTCTGTGGAGCTCACATATCCTACCTTCCTCATGAACATAAAGTTTTGTGTATTAAAGTGAGTTTTCATTTCTCTTGTGATTAGAAGCTCTGAGGCTCTTTAAGTGTTGTAAGTGTAAGCATTGGCCTCAGCAGTCACTTTGGGGCACCAAGAGGTTTGTGGTTTGGGACCTTTTAGAGTGTTTTACTGTGTAGCAAGTTTGATGTGATTATTTGCTACAAATATACTCATATTTGTCCACCCTTAGAGTCCCTGAAAAGCAAAGTATTGGCTCAGTGTCAAGGAAGTGGTCATTCCTCTGCAGTGTCTTCCCTCATGATATGCATTTCTCCATGAGCACCATGTCAGCCATACCCATTTGTTTTCCCAGAGAAGCAAGGGAAAGATCCAAGGACAGTAGAGATAGGACTTGTTCAGGGCCACTGTGCTGGGAAGTACTAGGAAAGCAAGAATTTTTTAAGGACCAGCCCTGCGTGGAGGAAACTACATTTGAATTAGTCAGCTAGAAAAAGTCTTTTTTGGGTTGAGGACACACATTCACAGATACCTGAGCTTTTGACTTTGGCAATCCTCTCATACCTATGGTCACAAAGACCCTTTTTGTCTTTTAATGTTTTGTGTCTAGTATCTTTCTACTTAGCTCTCCTAGTTACATTTGTGTTACCATCACTCTCAATTCTCATGGAAGTCTTTCCTAGTAAATTGCTTTTTAACCGTTGCCAAAGTGCTAAATCAGTGAAATGTGGCTAAGTCTTTCTTTGTTCACAGCAGCCTTTTTTCCCCTAATAATTCCATTCTTGTTTCATATTGTGAACCTCAACTTGAATTATTGGGTCAGTCTCTCGAAACCTTAATGATGGAGAAAGGTTATCCAGTGAACATATAATGGTGCAATTCATGAAGAATAACACCTGGTCCTACGTGTTAGGAGAAATCTTCGAATGGCGTAGCAGTACAGATCAGCATAAAAACCAGGGGAGACATTTGAGGTGAGTGTCATAGAAACAAGAGAAAACAGTGCCTCAGGAGAAAGTCCTATGGTGTCATGACATTAAAATACACACATATATGTTTGTTTATATAGGATTGCTGTGAGTCGGGATCAACTCGACGGCAGCAGGTTTATTCTAATATATATTACGTATATATTCATATATATAAACCTCGCTATAAAATTATGTGTTCAGAGAATGTTCACAGTACACCATTTTCATAAATATGAGTCAGATATCAAGTATTTGAAACATTTCACTTGGACACAATTATCAGAAAACCTCATGTTTGAGAAAAACAGTGATAGTAATGATAGTATTTCTGCTGAATGATTGAACCTATGAAACATGAGACAAGTCAGGCAAACACCATGCATGTTCCCTGTGATTAGTAATGGTGAAATGGAAACAAATTTATTTTCAACAGCATGTTGCCTATTTTTAACAGAAATCATACAGTAAAGAACCTCTGTGAAAGTAATGAAGACAATCAGTGTGGGAAAACCTTAAGCTGGATTCAAGATCTTACTGTGATAAAAAGAAATCCTCCAGAAGTAAATGTTTTTGAATGCTGTGAGTGTGGAAAAGCCTTCATGGATCACTCATCACAAAAACATCAGACTAGATCTCACACTGGATGCAATACTTATCAGTGTAAGGAGTCTGGAGAAGCCTGCCTTTGTCCCTCTCACCGAACCACTCCTATGAGAACTCTTAATGGAAAGAAATGCCATAAATGTAAGATATGTGGGAAGGACTTCACTTGTGTCTTAGCCCTTAAGAATCCTGTGACAACACTCACTGGTGAGAATTGCTATGAATGTAACAAATGTGGGAAAGATTTCTGTAGTTTCTCATCCTTTTGGATACATGTGAGAAATCATAAGCATGTATGTAAAGAATGTTGTAAAACCTATAGCTGTCCATCATCCCTCATGTTACATAAAAAGTTTCACAACAGAAATAAGCCTTATGAACGTAAGGAATGTAGGAAAGCCTTTAGTGAGACCTTATCCCTCACTCAACACACAAGAACTCACAGTGGAGAGAGACCTTATGAGTGTAAGCAATGTGGGAAAGCCTATAGTCGTTCCTCAGCCCTTACTACACATACAAGAACTCACAGTGGAGAGAAGCCTTACGAATGTAAGGAATGTGGGAAAGCATTTAGTCAGGCTTCATCTCGCACTCAACATATAAGAACTCACAGTGGAGTGAGACCTCATGAATGTAAGGAATGTGGGAAAGCTTTTAGGTATTCCTCACACCTCACTAAACATATAAGAACTCACAGTGGAGAGAGGCCTTATGAATGTAAGGAATGTGGGAAAGCCTTTAGTTGTTCCTCAAACCTCACTTCACATATAAAAACTCACAGTGGAGAAAGGCCTTATGAATGTAAGCAGTGTGGGAAAGCCTTTAGTTATCCCTCAGTCCTAACTAGGCATAAAAGAACTCACAGTGGAGAGAAACTTTATGAATGTAAGGAATGTGGGAAAACTTTTAGTTGTTCCTATTACCTCTCTGAACACATAAGAACTCACAATGGAGTGAGGCCTTATGAGTGTAAGCAATGTGGGAAAGCCTTTAGTTGTTCCTCAGCCCTTACTACGCATATAAGAACTCACAGTGGAGAGAGGCCTTATGAGTGCAAGAAATGTGGGAAAACCTTTAGTCGTTCCTATTCCCTCTCTGAACACATAAAAATTCATAGTGGTGAGAGGCCTTATGAGTGTAAGGAATGTGGGAAAGCCTTTAGTTGTTCCTCAGCCCTCACTACACATATAAGAACTCACAGTGGAGAGAGACCTTATGAATGTAAGGAATGTGGAAAAGCCTTTATTCAGCTCTCACACCTCACTGCACATAGAAGGACTCACAGTGGAGAGAGGCCTTATGAATGTAAAGAATGTGGGAAAGCCTTTAGTTGTTCCTCAGCCCTCGTTACACATGTAAGGACTCACAGTGGAGAGAGGCCTTATGAATGTAAGGAATGTGGGAAAGCCTTTAGTTGTTCCTCAGCCCTCATTACACATATAAGGACTCACAGCGGAGAGAGGCCTTATGAATGTAAGGAATGTGGGAAAGCCTTTGTTCAGCTCTCACACCTCACTACACATATAAGGACTCACAGTGCAAAGAGGCCTTATAAATGTAAGGAATGTGGGAAAACCTTTTGGTGTTCCTCACACCTTACTACACATAGAAGAATTCACAGTGGATAGGCCTCATGAGTGTAAGGGATGTAGGAAAGCCTTTAGTCATTCCTCACACCTCACTTGACATATACGAACTGACAGTGGAGAGACTAGTCTGTCTCAACACTGGAGTGTTTCATCCTTACTGCTATAATTTCAAACAATTTTTTGAAAGTCTGCTATTGAAGAACAAAGTTTCTTGGTGAGTAACAAAGCAATACTAATTTAAAGAAGGGGTCATTAGAGCTATTTTGTGCCTTTGGGAAAAATGACAGTTTCATTGTAACTGTGGGGCTGTCCTCAGTATTTGTTACTTTCTTAAAGTCTTTGGCTATTACAAGTAAGGCTGCAGGGAATAGCCTTGAGCAAATGTGGTTTTATATATTAATGTTTTTAATTGATGTTATTTGCATACAGTTAAACACACTGGTCTTGTATATGCTTTGAGTATTTTGTTTTCATATTTAACACATTTTTTTCCATTTTTTTCCTATTGTAAAGTTAATTCTTTTATCCTTTATAATTGGTAAGTTTTTCATAGGACGATACTTTGAGACTGCATATATTTTGTTTTTCTTTGTATTTTTGTCCTACAAATTTTGGTGTCCATTGATAATTATTACCTATGATTATCATTACTGTGGTGTTTACCAAATGGTCTGTTGTTCCAATCATTTCTGCTACATTTATTAATTGGAATTCTGAAAGTAGTACCTTCCTCTTCTCTCCCCTTTATTAAACTGTTTGTAACAGTATAGGCTAATGCATATTACTTTTTTAATTCCGTTTCTTGCTCAAATAGTCCCAGGTTTGGTTATTGGGAGCTCCCTTAAATAGGTTCCTTTTTTTAAAAAAAATATTCCCGTTATAATTTGTACATTCCTTTTACCAGTGTTCAATGCTTACCTTGTCCTTTTCTTGCCTGTGGTCTGGAATCAGACTTTTCTCCAAGAAACCTTGGTTCCTTTTGTTGGAGAATGATATTTAGAAACAAAGATCTGAGCATTTAGGCATGCTTATTGCTACTGGGCCCTCAAAGAAGAAAGATCTAGGAAATGTATGTGTATGAGTTTAGATATACAAAGACTCATACTATTTATTTTTATATGTAGATATATATTTAAAACCACAAGGTGATATCTATATCTCTGATTCTAGTCTACTACAGGGTTCATTTTACTCTTTATATATTACTCCTTTCTCCAACAGTAATACTTCTGGTTTCATTACCCACAACACATATTTGCTGAATCTTAGAATATACATATTTTCAGAATTGCTAACTGTAAGTTGATGAAGCACCTTGCAGAAAGCAGTTTGGCCTTTGTTCAAGGTTCCTAAGAGTCGGACTGCAGCAAAGGCTAATCAGTGAGGGTGGGTAAGATTAGACAGACCACCTGGTGGACTAATATTAACCCCTTGAGGCATAATTTAGCTTATCTTACAGGACTGGCCAATAAAAGCGTGGAAGTTGGAGCCTTAAGGTAACTTCCCAGTTGGTGAGAAACATCCATCCATGTGGAGGGTAGCATGTCCTAGGGACATGGAAACTCTGTGCTGGGACTTTCCCAGAATTCACCACATACATCTCTAAATATGTATTGTTTTTTGTGGTATTAAAGCGTCATTATAGGGATGGCCTTTTAATTCTGTGAGTCATTCCAGTGAATTGAACTGAAAGGAAACTCAGAAGTAAGGGGACTGGGTGCCCCTGATCTTGAGTCTGGTATTCTAAGGGGGTTAGAGGGAACCCCCAGACTTCTAGCCACCAGATCAGAAGTTGGAGGTCATTCAGACCGCTAAACTTTTGCAGCTGGTGTCTGTCTGGCAGTATGAAGGTTGGTATCCTTTTAACTTGTGAGGTCTGGCCTAGCCCCAAGTGGCTAGAGTCAGAGAGATAATCCTGTGTGGATGGCTGGTGTCAGAACTAAACAAGGACAGAAATCTGAGATTTCCATGACACAGCTGGCACATGAAGTGGGATTTCTTATTTTACTTGGCATAGATAGTAAGTAGTTGAAGCCATTAAGCTGTATCTAACCTTAAAACTAATGTCTCAACTATTGTATTACAGGATTGGTGGAATATTAATGAGGGTTGGAAAATGGGTTGAAGGAGACTGATGTCTGTAAGTCATAAGAACTCAATTTTTAATGAATAAATATGTGCATACATATAGAGGCAATCAGGCATAGACTTCCTCAGTTTCATGTCTCTCCTTACAAGTTTTTGCTCCCATACCCATCCACTCCATACTTTGCTTCTAAGTGAACAGTTTGGCAGTCTCATCATCTCTGGGTTCCCTCCCTTCTTTTTTGATCCGTCATATCGTCAATCACTTACTGTCTCCAGTATCTTCTGTATGTCCTGTCTCTTATTTGCCCTTAGTATCAATATCAGCATCTTTCCAACCTAATTGGACCCTCTTCTGGCTAGCTTTCACCCTTTTCACAATCCTCATGTTTAAACTCGTTTGAAAAGGTGTTATAGCCACTCATGTTCTTGGCTTCAACCACCAACCCAATCAACTCCCATATGTCCACATCTCAGACAAAGATCTCTGAAGGGAGGAAGAATGAATAGGTGGAGCACAGGGATTTTTAGGGCAATGAAATTATTCCATAGGATATGGTAATGGTGGACACATGACATTATGCATTTCTCAAAACCCATAACACTACAACACAAAGAGTGAACCCTGACATAATCTTTAGTTCAAAATAATGTATCAATATTGACTTGCTAATTGTAAAAAATACACCACACACCACAGAAATGAAAGATGTTAATAGGAGAAGCACTGTGGGTGTAGGAGCAGGTACAGGAGGACTCTGTACTTTATGTACATTTTTTCTGTAAACAAACTTCTCTAAAAATAAAATCTATTTTAAAACAACAAAAATGGTATCCCATTTTTAAGTTTTTACAACAAAGGCTGCATAATTTTTTGAAGTTACTTGTATTTTGCTTTCTATGAACTTATATTTTGTTTTCTGTGAACTGACTAGATATAATTTGGTTGTTTTCTATAGCTGAATTTTTAAAATACTGGTAAACTACATGTAATGTAAACTTCCCCATTTTAACCATTGTAAGTGTATAAATTCATTCGTTGTATTCTCATTGTATTTTAAAAATTTTTTATCACTTCAAACAGAAATTATACCCATTAAGCAATAACTCCCCATTTCCCCTTTTCCCCAGCCCCTGATAAGGACTAATAAACCTTGGTGTCTCTGCATTTGCATATTCTGCACATTTCATGTAAATGGAATAATATTTTGTCCTTTGGTGTCTATTTCACTCATAATGTCTTCAATGTTCATCCATGTTGTAGTATGTACTATAACTTCATTTCTCTTTATAATTTAATAATATTCTATAGTATATATTGTGTTCTGTTCATGTTTTGATGGGCACATGAGTCGCTATTATAAATAATATTTCTATGAACATTCATGTGCAAGTGTCTGAGTCCCTGTTTTCAGTTCTTTTGGGTGTAATACCTAGGAGTGGAATTGCTGGGTCATAGGGTAATTCTATGTGACTTTATTTGTTGTAAAAAATAGACATATAACAAAACATTTATGGTGAGGATTACAATAGCCTGAGAAGTAATTCTTTTACTGATGTTCATGGGAATAACCTCTTGGGGCCATCACAATGTAGTGTAAGGATTTAAATTATGTATGCACTGACCACCAGTGCATCATTGAGACAGCCTAGGCTTTGCACACATCAGAGGCAGGTGCCCAGAGTGACAGGAGATGTGCAAGGCACTGGAGGCCTAGGCTGGAACCTGGCACATGCTAGTTTTTTGTATTGCCCAAAGCAAGTCACTAAAAAAATCAGTTGCTCATCAAGTCAACACTGATTTATGGGGACTGCATGTGTGTCAGAGTAGAACTATGCTCCATAGGGTTTTCAAGGATGTGTCCTTTCAGAAGCAGATCTCCAAGCCTTTCGAGGCACATCTAGGTGGGTTCGGCCCGCCAACATTTTGGTTAGTACTTCAGCGCTGAACAGATTGCACCACCTAGAGACTCCATGTACATGTAGGTATGTATATATTTGTGTGTGTTTAAATATATATATACTTGAGCATTTCTTTGCCCCTCTGGTAGGCTTGTGATCTCTCTGAACCTGTTGCTTATCTGTTATTGAGAATACAAATTACCTTTTAAAGTAAATGCGAGAATCTAGTAAAGATACATGCAAGTTAAAGGGTTTGAGCATGTCCTGGCACATGATCACGCTCACTAGGTTATCTACTGTTTAGATTTGGGTGCAGGGCGCTCTCTCTGGCTAACTGGTGTGTGTTGTTGAGCTCTTGCTGCAGTGGCTGAGGAAGCTACTTTGTGCTGGGGGTCAGGTGGGCTGGCTCTGCTCTCCATGTCTGCTCAGTAGGCTAGCCAGGGCATGCATTTCTCACTGAAATGGTGGAGGCTTGAGAGAGCAGTAAAAACGCACAAGGTCTCTCAAGTGCTGGGCTCAGAAATGCACAGTGGCACAAAAGACCACATCAAAGGCCCAGGTGCTTTTGACCAAAGCAGACTTCATGGAATCAAAATCTGTTCTGTGAGAATGAATAACAAGCTCTACTGTATCTGTGGGGCAAACATTTGCACTCAACTACTAACCTAAAGGTGGTTCAAACCCAGCCAGCAGCACCAAGGAAAGTGCTCTGCTTTGCTGAAAAGATCAGCCAAAGAAAGCCAGTGGAGCGGTTCTACTCTGTAACACATGGGGTTGCCATGAGTTGGAGTCGACAGCAATGGGTTTGATTATTTTGGTTTATTATGTCTGTACAGGTTCTGCATGAACAGGATTAAATGTTGTGGGATTTCCCAATCTTCACGTTATCCATAATTTGTTATGATCAATGCAGTTAAATGCCTTTGCATACTCAATAAAACACAGGTAAACACCTTTCTGGTATTCTCTGCTTTTAGCCAAGATGAATCGGACATAAACAATGATATTCCTCATTCCACGTTCTCTTCTGAATCTGGCTTGAATGTCTGGCAGTTCCCTATCAGTGTAGTGCTGCAGCCATGTCGTGGATTGAATTGTGTCCCCATAAAATACCTGTTAAATAGGCTAGGTCGTGATTCCCAGTATTGTGTGATTGTCCATCATTTTGTCATCTGACGTGATTTTCCTAAGTGTTGTAAATCTTACCTCTATGATGTTGAGATAGGATTAGCAGCAGTTACATTAATTAGGCAGGACTCTATAAGATTAGATTGTGTCTTGAGCCAATCTCTTGAGATATGAGAGATGTGAGCAGAGAGACAGGGGAACCTCATACCACCAAGAAACAAGAGCAAGGAGAATAGCGCATCCTTTGGACCTGGGGTGCTTGCATTGAGAAGCTCATCAACAAGGGAAGATTGATGACAAGAACCTTCCCCCAGAACCAACAGAGAGAGAGAAAGCCTTCTCCTAGGATGGGCATCCTGAATTCAGACTTCTAGCCTAAACTGTAAGAGAATAAATTTCCCTTTGTTAAAGCCATCCACTTGTACTATTTCTGTTATAGCAGCACTAGATGACTAAGACAAACCATTTCAGCAAAATTTTATTTGCCTGTGATATTGATATTTTTTGATAATATCTGCATTCTATTGGATCATCTTTCTTTGGAATGGGCACAAATATGGATCTCTTCTAGTCAGTTGACCAGGTAGCTGTCTTCCAAATTTCTTGGAGTAGATTAGTGGCTGCTTCCAAAGTTGCATTAGTTTGTTGAAGCATCTCAATTGGTAGTCTATCAATTCCTGATGCCTTGTTTTTCGCCAATGCCTTTAGTGCAGCTTGGACTTCTTCGTTCAGTACCATCAGTTCTAGATCATATGCTACCTCCTGAAATGGTTGAATGTCGACCAGTTCTTTTTGGTAGAGTGATTCTGTATATTCCTTCCATCTTCTTTTGATGCTTCCTGTGTTGCTCAATATTTTCCCTGTAGAATCCTTCAATATTGCAACTCGAGCCTTCAATCTTTTCTTCAATTCTTTCACCTTGAGAAATGCTGAGTGTGTTCTTCCCTTTTGGTTTTCTAACTCCAGGTCTTTGCCCATTTCATTATAATACTTTACATTGTCTTCTCGAGGGACCCTTTGAAATCTGTTCAGCTCTTTTACTTCATCATTTCTTCCTTTTGCTTTAGCTGCTCTAATTAAAAAAAAAGTTTGAGAGTCTCTTCTGATATCCATTTTGGTCCCTTTTTTCCCCCTTCTGTTTGTTAATTGACCCTTTGCTTTTTTCATGTACGATGACCTTGATGTAATCTCAAAACTCATCTGGTCTTTGGTGATTAGTGTTCAAATATATTTTTGAGATGGTCTCTAAATTCAGGTGGGATATACTCAAGGTTGTACTTTTGCTCTTGTAGACTTGTTTTAATTTTCTTCAGCTTCAACTTGAACTTGCATATGAGCAATTGATCTCTTCCACAGTTGTCTCCTGGACTTGTTCTGACTGATGATATTGATCTTCTCCATAGTCTCTTTCCACAGATGTAATCAGTTTGATTCCTGTGTGTTCCTTCTGGCGATGCCCACATGTATAGTCTTTGTTGTTGTTTTTAATTGTTGTAATTAAATGAAGTTTACTTTTCAAGTTAGTCTCCCATACAAATTTTTTTTTTACATACATCCTTATGAGACCCTAATTGCTCACCCCATTCTGAAACAGCACACTCCTCCTTTCCGCCCCAGATTCCCCATGACCATTCAACCAGCTCCTAACTCTCTCTGCCTTCCCATCTCACCTCTGGACAGAAGCTGCCCCTTTGGTCTCTTGTATCTACTTGACTAAAGAGGCACACTCTTCATGAGTATCACTTTATGTCCCACAGTCCAGTCCAATCCTTGTCTGAACAGTTGGCCTCAGAAACTGTCTTAGTTCTGGGCTGATAATCCAGGGGCCATGCTTTCCAGGGTTCCTCCAGTCTCAGACCATTAAGTCTGGTCTTCTTACTAGAATTTGAGTTCTGCACCCCATCCTTCTACTACTCCATCAGGGACCCTCTGTTTTGTTCCTTGTCAGGACGTTCATTGGTGGTAGCCGGGCACCATCTAGTTCTTCCAGTCTCAGGCTGATGAAGTCTCTGGTTTATGTGGCCCGTTCACTCTCTTGGGCTAATACTTTCTTTGTGTCTTTGGTGTTCTTCGTTCTCCTTCACTCCAAGTGGTTGGGACCAATTGATGCATCTTAGATGGCTGCTTGCAAGCTTTTAAGACCCCCAGACACCACTCAACAAAGTAGGATGCAGAACATTTTCTTAATAAGCTTTGTTCTGCCAGTTGACCTAGATGTCCGCTGAAAGCATGGTTCCCAGACACCCCATCCCTGCTACTCTGTCTCTCAAAGTATTTGATTGTATTCAGGAAACTTATTAGCTTTGGTTTAGTCCAGTTGTGCTGACTTCCCCTGTAGTGCGTGCTGTCCTTCCCTCCGCCTAAGATGATTCTTATCTACTATCGAGTTAGTGAATAACACTCACCCTCCCTCACCACCCCCATAACCATCAAAGAAAGTTTTCTTCTGTGTTTAAACCTTCTCTTGATTTCTTATAATAGTGGTCTTACACAGTATTTGCCCTTCTGTGACTGACTAAATTCACTCAGCATAATAAGTTCCAGCTTCCACCATGTTATATGATGTTTCACAGCTTCATCGTTGTTCTTTATTGTTGCATAATATTCCATTGTGTGGATATACCATAGTTTATCAGTTCATCCGTTGATGGGCACCTAGGTTGCTTCCATTTTTTTGCTATTGTGAACAGTACTGCAGTGAACATGGGTGTGCATATATCTATTCGTGTGACAGCTCTTGTTTCTCTAGGATATATTCCAAGGAGCAGGATAGCTGGATTGTATGGTACTTCATTTCTAGCTTTTTAAGGAAGCACCAAATTGATTTCCAAAGTGGTTGTACCATTTTACATTCCCACCAACAGTGTATAAGTGTAAAAGTGTTCCAGCATTTATTA